GCATAGGATAATGACTCACTAAACCCCCTCATATTTCAAAAGTAAATAACCCCCTAAAGCTTAAAACCAAAATGGTATGGTTAGTCACTTAGTCCAGTACCCAAAGATAAACACAGAAGTACTCCAAAGAATCTCTACACCTACGAATTGCTCAAGAGACTGAGCTGGCATAGTGGCATCTATATCCAAAAGGCAAGAAACACTTGAGGGCTGTAGGTCACAAATCACCTGACAGCTAACAAAAAATCGATCTTGCTCTAAGCAAAACCATAGCATATTCACATAATTCAAGTCATTGGAATCTTAAAGAAGGTGATGATCATAGTTGAAGCCATCCCATGTATCTAAAGAAGACCTACTTCGTATATTATACATAACATATACCGTTAAAAAGAAATATTTATAAAGCACTGAGCTTCAACAGCAAAACAAGGCTGCTTAAAGACACCTAATCAAAAGAAGCAAGCTATGATTAACCATGCAACAATATAAGGCCTCACCTGTGAAAAACTGAGGAAACTTGACTGGTAAAATCACAGCCTCCTGCAAGGCCTGCTTGGCGCTCTCAAGCCCAGCAACATCATTCCACTTGACATTAGGCTTCTCCCGAACGATAGCTGAATTCAATCCAGCCCGGAGCTTAGCCTGATCAGGATCTTCTCCGTCCTCCCCGTCCTTTGGCTTAGTCTTTGGCTTGGCGGCCACAGCAGCATCTCCGCCGCTGGAAGCTGGGCCTGTACCACCCTCATCAAGGACGGCTCGAATCTCTTCTGCCCGGCGCAAGTACTCAGTGAACTTATTAGTGATTGCCTCCTTGATCTTAGGGTTCTTCTCGTACTTGAGGTGGGTCTTGAAGTATTCCAAAGCATTCATGTACAGCGGGAAGGCTTTTGCATAGTTCCCCGCATTGTCCTCTTGCACTGCTTGTTTCACGTACTCGATCGCCTGCTCTTTGAAATTACTATACATCTTCAGACTATACAAATACACACATGAATGGATACAGTACTGAGAAATCAGAAACCCTACAAATTGATCAATGAGGAAGGGAGAGCTGCGTTAAAACTTAAAAGATCGAATAGAAATGTGAATACATGAAAGTTAGGGCCAAAGGTTTGGAGATGATCGGATTTTGAATGTGTTGTGTTGGGTGTGACTCTCCGGGCGAGCGGCCCTACGATGCGGGTTTGTTCAGCTCGTAAAGAGACGTTTGGTAGGGCTATTTTGAACACGGAATCATTTTCTCATTTCTTCACCACTTTATCAATCAATTTTGGAAAAAAGTACAAATATACTCATGTAATTAGTTGTGAAAACAAATATACTCATGTTCTATTTTTTAGAATAAATATACTCCTCAAGTATATGTTAAAATACATATATGCTCCTGAACTTTTAAAAAGTGCAAAAATACTTCTCTTCAGGGCCAGAGCCAAAGGGGGTCAGAGTAGTCAGCCAACCCGCGGAAAGTTTAAGAGTATAGAGCTCTGAAATATCTTCGATTTGATATATTATGGCCTCCGTCACTCATTACGAGTAAAAAATTATGACTTCTGCAGAATCAGCACTATCTAAACGTAAAATCAGCAAAGTTTGATGCATATTATAAATTAGTTTCCCAAATTTTAAAAATAGAGTATAATTCACTCAATACTTACGTGACATTGTTTAAAAACGATTCATCATTTTCATTTTGTATATAGGTTGAGTTTCGACCCCGCTGAGCCATTTTTTGGCTCCGCCACTGCCCCTCATGTTCATATAAATAAGCAAATTTACCCTAATTGACTTTAAATAGATAAAATTAATTTTAAAAAAAACACCAAGAATAAATTATAAATTCGAAATTTTAAAATAAAGATTTATTATTATGTTAAGTCATTAAGATATTAACTCTTTAATTTTAAATTACAAAATTATTATTTTTCTGTTGTAAATGAAACACTTCAAATTCATAAATATTAATTTTAGTCTTGTTGTGAAATTTTGAACACATTGTTATATTTTTTGAAATTAGATTATTTAATTTTGTTTAAGCTTTATAAAATTAAATTCATTTGTAATCTTGGATTATTTATCAATTATCATCATACAAAATATACAATTTATAGTGCAAAGAATGCAAAAAATTAATATTTTTTTACATTGCAACACATATGTTAACACTTTTATCGAAGAATCCTACCTATATAGTAAAGTTTTGAAATAATATTTTATATTGACAATATTAATTATACAAACAATAAAAGGGGGAATTGGACACCAGTACATATATAAATTTTTTATTATTTAATATTGAATTTATAATTTATCTTTGGTGTTTTTGAAATTTATTTTATCAATGTAAAGTCAATAAGGGCATATTTTCTCCTTTATTAGAACATGAGAGGTATTTTTGCATCTTTTAAAAAGTTCAGGGGTATATATGCACTTCCACATATACTCCAGAGGTATATTTATTCTCACAACCATACTACATAGGTATATTTGTACATTTCCCCTTCAATTTTTTATATACATATGTTGTGTTGCTTCTTTTTTACTTCGAATGATAGCTAGTCTTCAGATTGGTATAATCCATAGGACCAATTTTTTAGGTGAGTTATACTCCGTAATTCTTAGACTAGACCTGTCGGCGATTTGAATTGGGACTGAATTACACAGTACCAGTTTTGAAATCAGTGTTCCCTATTTTATTTTGGTTCAGTTATCTAGTTATAAATTACTAGAACAAAACAAAATGGTTATTTAAAATAAATCAAAACTTGGTGAGCCTTGCGTTGAGGTCGATATTGTAGCCTAGGCTCGACTTCACGTTGGCGAGCCTGTGTACTATAAACCGAGTTACTTCAGTGAGACCGGACATGATCCATAGTACATTGACGATACCTGACGAGACCGAGTAAACTTGATTCGTCTCGACTGAGTTTTTGTTTTGACACTTAGCCGTTTTATGAACGTTCTAGGCACAGATGTCCAGGACTTATGTCACAGCCTTTATTGTTGACGTTGTGGCCCAAATCCTAAGGGCTTACATCATCATCCTACATTAGCTTGACATCAATCCTAACATCACCAGCGTGTTACTCAAGATTCTCAAAGGACACTATCACCACCCTATTAGTTAGCATTTTGGCTTAAGGTTCAAACATTGTATTTTACCTATAAAAAACATCACATTTTCAAATGTGAAAAAATTGCATATACTATTATTATACTAAATTGATAACTTTCACTTTAGAGTTCTTTTATCTTCCCTCTGACTTTTCTCTATCCCAGGTTTCATAACTCATAATTTCACTTCTAAGTGTCTTTTCTCCATAAGAAGCTAATACAATATTATGGAAAATCTTCCGGTAAGGTATACCTTACAGGAGGCGCCGTGCGGCCTCCACGTTTTGAGGGCCTTCCTGGTGGAACTTTTCGATGAATATTTTTGAGCATGTTCTTCATCAAGTCTAGTACATCCATACCAAATTTCAGCAAAAAAATTAAATCGAGAAGGCAGTCAAACGATTTTTGGAAGATAATTGCGTTTTATATGTATATAAAGGGTGCAGTTATCTTCCAAAAATCATTTGACTGCCTTCCCGATTGAATTTTTTGCTGAAATTTGGTATGGACTACTTTCCAAAAAAAATGCGTTTTATATGTATATAAAGGGTGCAGTTATCTTCCAAAAATTCATCATTTGACTTGATGAAGAACATAATCAAAAAATTTCATCGAAAACTTCCACCAAAAAGGCCCTCAAAACGTGGAGGCCGCACGGCGGCTCCGGTAAGGTATACCTTACCGGAAGAGTTCCCACAATATTATTATTGTTTTTCTCTTCATCACATGGAGAAACATCATCATCTCATTTGGGAATAAAAGTTGTATGTCTCATTATGATGCAAGAATAGGGGTGCAAAATGCAAACGCCATCCAAACTCGAACCACCTCATTAAACAATCGAGCCAAACTCGAACTGGGCCACGACGTCAATAACAGTTGACTCATGGACTCGTGAGCCATAACATACTTGTAAATAAATAGATAAATAAATAAATAAATGACTCCATTTCAAAGAAATGAGCTCTACATGTTATATGAAAAAAGATGAGAACTTGTAAAACACATCCAAACACATAGCTGAATAACACACACAAAGATATTCCGAGAAGGTGATATAGAAGGAAACCCTACGGCGATCTTCTACCTCGCATTCCCGATAACGCTACGGCGGCACAGCCGCGGCCTCTACCAGGTGGTAATGTCTGGACCCGGAAATCCTTTGCTGATGTAGTTTCGAATAAGGAAACTCCTATTTGCTATACTCAATCTCGATTTAAAGGGGGCCCAGCTATATCATTCCCAGAGCCGGATATTCGGAGATTGGCAGAAGTTCATAAGAGGGCTTTGGTAGGTTATTTTTTCCGTGGGAGACCCAGTCTTTCTCTCATATGAAAATCTTTTGAAATCATTGGTTTTAAAGGATCGTTTCATCTGGGTCACCTTGAGAAAAAGCATATGCTAATTCATTTTGATTTGGAGGAGGATTATTTGAGATGTTGGAATCGACAAACATGGTCGATTCAAGGAAATATCATGCGTGTAACGAAGTGGTCGCCTGATTTCAAGCCAAACGTGGAATCACCCATGGTTCCGGTTTGGATTGCTTTTGAAGGTTTACCAATACATTTGCATGACAAAAGGGCATTATTTGCTATCGCAGGATTAATTGGAAACCCCTTGCATATTGATTCGGCCACAGCCACTTTGGTTAGGCCCTCGGTTGCAAGAATTTGTGTGGAGCTTGATCTGACAAAAGAGGTGCCTACTAAGGTCTGGGTTAATTGCGGTTCTACAGGTTTTTTCCAGCCTGTTTATTACAAAAACAGGCAAGATTATTGTTCGTTGTGTTATCACTTGGGTCATTCGGCAGCTAAATGCCCCAAATATTCGATGGAGGTCCCTAAAGCTGTTGTGCCTTTAGCACAACCAAAAGACATATGGGTGCAAAAGTTGAAGAAAGTCCAGTTTACAACACAACCCACACAAGTTCATGATGTGCCATCTACGTCTACACAATTGATTATAAATAATGTTGAAGAATCTGACAGAGAGGAGATATTTCCGGATATTGAGGATCAACCTATACTGTCTGAACCACCTCAAACTTTTAATCAGCAAGAGATTGATCAGTTGCTTCAGCCTGCAACCCCTGGTACACATAACAAAGCCTACAAGGATGATTTGCATTTAAGGATTTACAAAAGCAATTAGACTTTGATGAAGACCTGCGCGAAAAAGATTGTGCCTCAGATGGTAAACAATCTAGATCTCAGTTTGACCTGCAGAAATGGAAGGAGACATGGCCAGAACTTTCTGCAAAGTGGTTTTGAAGGTGCTTAAAAGTGGTTCCATGTATGAGGTTCCATGAAGGTGGTTCCATGGCCAGACATGTCTTTCTTTTTATTTTTTCTGTTGGTAACTACTGTGAATCCCTAAGTATCAACTGCATTGTTTTCTGGCATGGTTTCAGGGGAATTTTGTTGTTCTGCAATTACTGGTGTTTGGTTTTCTTTATGCACATCCTGCTGTAATTATGTGTTGTTGATTTGACTAGAGTCAACAGTGATCTGCCCTGAGGCAACAGTACCTGAGGTACCTACTCAGTCCACAACTTGCTTTCTCAGAACATCATTTGAAGGTGGTTAAAAGTGGTTTTCAGGGCTGGTTGACTGCAGTATATGGAAAACATAATCATATCACCAGAAGGGTACTTTGGAGATCTTTGTTAGCAATTTCTAGTACTATGTCTGGTCCTTGGATTATTGGTGGTGATTTCAATGTTATTGTCAAGCATAATGAACACAAGGGTAACAACACTCCTATTCTAGATAGTGTGGTTGATTTCTCATATTTTATTTCAGCCTGCAATCTTACTGAACTCCCTCATCAAGGCTCTCAGTTTTCTTGGTCTGGTATTAGATCAAATGGGTGGGTCTGGAGGAAATTGGATAGAGTTTTGATGAATTCTCAATTTACTGATCATTTCAACTCTATTCAGATTTCTTATTTGGATAAATCCCCATCTGACCACAATCCTATTCTGGTTCAGTGTTGTAACAATGAATCAAATGGACATAAATCTTTTAAATTTCAGAATATGTGGTTGTGCCATCCTTCCTTTTTGGATATTGTTCTAGAAAAGTTGGGCTGCAAGTAATTCGGGGGGAGGTATGAGAGGTTTGGTTTTTAAATTACAGTGCTTGAAAAGAGACCTAATGTTTTGGAACAAGGATACCTTTGGAATTTTTTTTTACTCCATTAAACAGTGAACATGATGTTTTACAGGCTGAAAAATCTTTCATTGCTAATCCTAGTGGGGAAAATAAGGAAAATTGGTCTTTTCTGAAAGCCTTACTCCTTTCTAAATACAAATTAGAAAGGAGATTTTGGAAATAGAAAGCTCATATTAGATGGCTAAAGGATGGTGACACAAATTCACATTTTTCACTCATATAGTCATATGTCAAGATCAGGAATAAAAAGCAGCAAATTTCTTCCATTACCACTGCTTAGGGCACCTGTGTTAACACCTTACCAGAAATTGGAAAACAGCTATTGATTTTTTCTCTAGTCTGTACTCAGTTGATAACAATGTTGATTCTGAGTCCATCCTGCAATACATTCCAAAGTTAGTCAATGATGCAGATAACCAAATGTTGATGCAACTTCCTAACATGAGTGAAGTTAAAGATGTCGTTTGGGGTCTGAACCAAAATGGGGCTCGAGGCCCGGATGGCTTCGATGGTAAATTTTTTAAAAAGTGTTGGAATATAGTTGGAAAAGATGTAGTCCTCGCAGTACAAGAATTCTTCATGGGGTTGTCTATCCCTCAGGGTTGTCAATCAGCCTGGTGGTTCTCATCCCCAAGAAGGATCTCCCTATTACTTTTGTAGATTTTAGGCCCATATGTTTATCAAATTTTAGTAGCAAAATTTGTACAAAGGTTTTGACCACTAGGTTATCTACAATCCCGCCTAGGTTAATATCACCTGAGCAAGCTGGATTTATGGAGGGGAGGTACATAGCAGATCAAGTTTTAATTGGTGAGGCAATGGTGCATGTTATTGATAAAAATGTGAGGGGTTCTAATATTATGATCAAGCTTGATATGGCTAAGACTTTTGACAAATTATCTTGGAAATTTCTTAAAGATATAATGCTGCAATTTGGGTTCTCTCAAAGTTTTACTCATCTTATTATGAATAATCTGCATTCCACTAATTTGTCAATCCTAGTTAATGGTGCCCTCATGGTTATTTTAAGCCTAAAAGGGGTGTTAAACGGGGTGACCCTTTATCCCCCTTCCTTTTCATATTAGCTTTATAGGCTTTTTCTAGGGGATTAATTTTTTTGGTTGAAGTAGGATTATTCAACCATTCTGGATGGGAAATATAGGTCATCCTGTATCCCACTTAGATTATGCAGATGACTTACTGGTTTTTATTAATGGTGGTGCAAGATCCTTAAAGAATTTCATGAAATTCATTCAGGATTATCAAATGGCCTCTGGTCAGTCTGTAAACCTTGATAAAAGTTCTTACATTTGTGGCAAACATGTTGGGGGTAGAGGTACTGTTATTCAGAATTTTCTGGGCATGCAGAAGACTGAATTGCCTATAAAATATCTTGGGGTCAACCTTCATAAAGGCATTAACAGATATTCCTACTGTCTGGATCTCATTAATAAATTTGAGGCTAAACTGACACCTTGGAAACATAAGAACTTAACTCAAGCAGGCAGACTGATATTGATTAAGCATGTCCTCACTGCCATTCCATTGCACCTGTTGGCTAGTGACACCCTGCCAAAAAAAGCTGTTAGGATTCTGGAAAGGAAAATGTCAAACTTCTTTTGGGGCTCCTCACAAAACAGACCTACACACCATTGGATTAAATGGTCTGATATGTGCTTGCCCACTGAAGAAGGTGGTCTGGGTATTAGGGCATTGATTGTGGTGGAAAAGGCATTTTCTTTAAAACTTTGGTGGAAATGGAAAAAAGGAGGTTCTTTTTGGGCTGATTTTTTCAATGCCAAATACCCTAGAGGTGACAATATGGTTCCTAAAGTGTATGACTCATCCATTTGGAGAAGAATTTGTTCTATTAATAATGAGGCTCTTTCCTATTGTGAATATGATTCACATGGGGGTCTGATTTGGACTGCTGAGGAGGATGTTACATTTTCATTTTCATCTTCTTATCAATTGGTAAGGAGTGAAAAGGGTTCCACTTTTTCTTTTAAACACAGCTGACACCCTAAGCAAATACTGAAAATTAAGCTTTGCCAATGGAAAATTCTCAATAGAATTATCCCTACTACAAAAAATCTTCTCATGTTTCAGCTGGTTCTCTATCCCTCTATTTGCCATATGTGTAGGTCTCATAGTGATTCTATGGACCATCTATTCTTCAACTGCAAAATTGCTCAACAAATCTGGTCCTATTTTATGAGTATTTTTCAGATTCCTAAATATGGTGGCATTCACTCGGTGAGGCAAATATTTATTTCATGGTGGCTCAAAGCAGGCAACAAAAAGGTTTCAGATTTGTTTAGACATAATTTATCTGGTATCATTTGCTGGCACCTTTGGAAATCCTATACAAGCTTGGTTTGGGGCTCCGAGCCTCGGGTTCCATCTCCGGACATCATCATTGCTCAGATTAAAGTTTTCACCCGGAATTGGGCCTCCAGTCTTAGCAGACTCAAACTCATGGGGATTGATGATGTTCTTTTTGAAGAAAACCTAATTCTAGCAATTTTAAACTCACGGGAACAAGTATAAGCTTATCAATTGGATTAAGCCACAGAAACTGAAATTAAACACAAATGCGTCGTTTCTACCTTAGGGATCTTATGGAGGAGCGATTATGAGAAATCATGATGGAGCTTTGGTGTTTGCTATGTCCTTCGCGCTACAAGCTGACTCTGCCTTGGATGCGAAAATCAAGTCTTTGCTCTTTGCTACAAATTGGTCCTTGGATGCAGGCTTCAGCGATTTTCATGTTGCAGTAGATTCCCAGGCAGCTCTGAATTATGTCCTTAACAATCGACTTGGAAGATGGCTGGTTAATATTCAGGAAATGCTACTTCACGCGAATAGCAAAGATGTCTCTTTCAGGCATATTTTACGCGAGGCGAATTGGGCTGCAGATAGTTTGGCCCATCTCCATCCAGATCAGTTGGTTATCTTTAATCGGGCTTTTGAACTTCCGAGCTCTGTTAAGAGAGTTTATTATTCTGATAAATTTGGCCTTCCTTATCTCAGAACTTAATTTTGATTCTTTGTTGTTTTGTTTTGTTTTGTTTTGTTTTGTTTTGTTTTGTTTGGTTTGGTTTGGTTTTGTTTTGTTTTACTGTTCTGGTTTTTGTTGTTTTATTGGGTCAGGTTTAGCCCCCCAAATTGTATTTTTAAAATATTTCTAATAAAAATTGGTAAATGTCCTCCAGCATTTACCCCACTGATTTTGGTGGTTGGCCTTCCGGGGTAAAAAAAATAAAAATAAAATAAATAAATAAATAAATGAATACATACACATAGTATTTGTATTTATATTTATTTATGTATATATTATAAATTTTAAGTGATAGTAAGGATGTTTTTACTTGGACTGCTTTCAGTCCCAGGCCAGACCAGACTTAAAAGATCAGATTAGACCAAACTTAAACAGACCAGACTTAAACAAAGCAGATCAGATCAGACTTGACTTCCGTAGTTATAAAATAGTAAAAATACACATAGACCAGACGTTTACCAGACTAGACCAGTTCAGACCAGACCGAACTTAAACAGACCACACCAGACTTAAACGGACCGTACCAGACTAGCAAATTACAGTCCAAGTAAAAACATCCTAAAAAAGATAAACGACTAAAAATGAGAACAATAAAGTAAAATATTATTTAATTATTTGGATGTATAAATATATTGTGAATGATTTTGAATATAGAAAATTTATTTCTGGTTTGAATTTGAACTTGAGTTTGAACATCTTATTTGACCATGAACCCTATCAAAGTCAATGAGTGAAACTTGGGCCGAGCTCGAGCCGAACCTAAACCGAGTTCGAGTCAAATCTATTAGGCTCATTCGAGTTGGATCTCGAGCCAATGCATATTTATCAAGCTTGGGCACGCCCAAGCTCGAGTTCAAATCAATTCAACTTGTTTACACCCATGTCCTAAAAGAATCATTCAATAAGTTATTGAATGACTCGATTTTGTCGATTAAAAGTTGTAATCATGTTACATCAATTTGAAACAAATAATTATTGAACAGTTTAATGCCCAAAATGTGCAACCTAGAACTAATATTGAAACAAACTACTTCCTCCGTTCTTAAATAAATGCAACGGTCAACATTTCACACTTGCCGAGACACAACTTTGACCATTAATATATATGCTTTTGTATTAGTAAAAAATTAAAAAAATATTAGATTATGAAAATTTACAATAAGACAAGTTTAACAATATTTTTTTCATAAAAAAGTATCATTATATTAATATATAAAATATAGTCAAAGTAAAACATGTGAATAATTTAAAAGTCAAAGTGTTTGCATTTATTTAAGAATGGAGATAATATAGGATAGAATTGAAATGAAAGTCAAACTCACTATTTGGAGTGATGATATCTTGCTTGCATATCAAACTTCTCTCTTATTGGTTGAACTTGTTTTAGAATCGTAAGTCCACATCTTTTTTCCTTTTAGAAACATCACATATTTCTAATACGAATAATCCTTTCCATATAAACCGCACAGTAGTACTAACCATTGTGGCAAGATAACGGTAAAATACACCGTACAGCCGGCTGTACCGTGCGCACGGTACAGCCGGTCCTTTTTGTTCTGCTGCGCACCACCCACCGCCCTGCTATCTTCCTTTTCGTCTTTTCTTTTTGTGAGCAACGATTTCCCTCTGCTGACTGCTGTCTCATCTCTGCTTTTGGAGGCCAATAGTTCATGAATTCTGCTAAGCTCAACTCGGTGATTTTCTTCTCCACAACTCCACCATCCCACCTCGATCGATCGATCGATCATCATATATCAACTGGTGTCTTAGGTTTTCTCATTTAAAATCAATTTCATCACAATCTTAATAACATACTAATATACACCATAACTCAATTTAATTACTTTGCAGCGACAAACGACCTCCAAGCTCTAGCCACAACCTTAGGAGATGGTGATTTCCAGGAGTCTGCGATTTGATTGTAATTATATAGCTACTTTTGCTAATATGAGCATACACAATGAAAAGTTGAGCATATTAGATATTTAAAATAACATTTTGTTATTTTGTCGATGCTCATCTTGTAATATATGTGTGCTCGTGTGAAATTTGTATAATACTCATTTTGGCATAGTAGATGTTTTAAATGAGTTTTTTTTAATTTTTGTGCTCATTTCGTAAATTATTTATGCTCATTTGATAGTGTTATAAAACCCATTTTAAAATGTTCATATTCATACATATTTCAAAAGTATAATATTACATTAACTACATATGTTGGATACATATGGCTTTATTGTAGATATTTTAAAAAATAAGAAAATCAAAATGAATTACAAAATATGAAGTCGATATTACGATGCTCATTATTATACTCTCAATACTCAAAAAGAAAAAATTAGGTGCTCACTAAAAGTATACTAATGCTCATTTTGTACCGGTGTTCTGCTCATTATATTTTAACATAACACTTGATTATAGGCACATGAGCACAGATCGTGATGCTCAACCGCATGATTTTAATACTCAATAGAAGAAGTTTGATACTCAGTTAAAATGTATCCATGGTTAGATGTGTATAAAACCGAAAATGAATGAGCACACACAAACGAAATTTTGAATTTTTGGATATTCACTTTGTAAGTTACATATGCTCATTTGATTTTGTTTTATGCTCATTGAAAAATGTTTCACATTTCATATGAAGAAGAAATCACTGGTGCTCATTGTTAGACCCTGAATACTCAAAAGAACAAACTCGATGCTCATCACAATCACATAATGAAAACGAGTGATGCTTATAATTTCAAGTTGATGCTCAATAAAAATGTCTTGATGTTCAACTTAAAAGTACTTATGATTTTCATATCAATTCTCATTTTTTAAGTTATTAAGCTCAACGGGTATTCATGTTATGCTCATTTGTAAAATGACATAACAATGCATATCTCAAAAGTATCATATTGCATTAAACTTGTATATTGAAGTTCATGAGAGTTGATTATAGATATAATTTAATAAGTTTTTATAAAGAAAAAAATAAGGAAAAGAAAGTAAATTCGAAGAGATGAAGCAGATATCACGATGCTCAATGTTATGCTTCTATGCTCAACAAAATATGTCACTTGCTCACTAGGTGTGGTTTAATACTCATTTAGTACGAAACGCGAATTTTACATAAATTACAAAAATGCCACCGGTTGTACGGTGCTCACCGTACAGCCGGTGGTACTATATACGCTTCCCAAGATAACAAACCCTTAATATACCTCATATATATTCAAATGTCATAACATACGGAACCCTAAATTTAATTTTTACAATTGCATAAATTGGACCCACGACACTTGATAAATTTAACACAATACCTTGCTCTAAATCATGATAGGCATTGTGAATCAAACACTCTATTGAACACATGTAGGAGAGAACAAAAATATGAATAAAAGTTCAAGGAAATGGTTCTCCAAAATTGCAATGCTCTCTTACAATAACAAACCCTTAATAGAGAAAAATAAAAAATATATATGAGAAAATTAAAACACTCTTATAATTTTCTTTCTAATACTAGCAAATTGCTTTGACTTCCATCAATAATCGAGATTATCACAACTGATTTTTGAAATATATATGTGTAGCTCAAATTTTTCCATCATTTGCAATGGAGCCAAAGATTCATTATTTTTTGACTTGAGAATATGATGGAATAAAGCAAAATGGCTCACTAAACTGTATGTGCTTCTTTGTTATGAAGCAGCAGTCAGTCCATGCAATTTTGGACGCGGTTTTCACTATGAGTCATCCGGAAACAGTCTCTTCGTGCTTTAGTACAGGGGTAAGACTGTGTACATCCGACCCCCCTTACCCCACTGTAGGTGGGGAGCCTTTGCGGCACTGGGGTAAATGAAAATGAAAATGATGAAATGATATGTGTAGCTCAAATCAAATATTTATATTATATATAGAACAAATAATAAATGAGTAAGAAAAGTGTGTCATGAAGTATATGTTAGAAATAAAATATACGATCCTACACTCTTGTAGAAAAATTAAGCACAAAAATATAGAACTCAAACATATATACACTTCAACTTGAGATGATATATAGTTTTTTGAATTATGGGCTAAAATTTGTTATTTTCAGCTAATAATTATGTCGACTTTTGATGGTAGTATATCATTTATCACCCAACTACTTTTTCTTTTCACTTTTAACTTTTCTATTTTCAGTTTTTGTTTTTTATTTCAATTTTGGTCTGCTTTGCTAATCCCTCTGTATCTAATCAAAAAACTATTTATCAGATTATAGAATATACTCCGTATAACCGTCTAATTACAAACATGCACATACATACATATATCATCTCAAGTAGTTCTTCCGTTCTTTTTAATCTGCATTCATATATATACCCAATATTTTCTCGCTATAATAAGATTTTCATTAAAAAATACATATGTGGGGTATATCTTTACCTTTTCTTCCTTTTATACACTCTTTTCCATGTTCTCTAATAATACCTCCCTCCTGGTAGACTTTGCCAAGTGCAAAGTAGGTGGGAAATAAGAATAGTAAAAATTGTGTAGTTGAGATTTGTGTAGAGGAGAGAAAAATGTGCAAAACCACAAATTAGTTGCTCTAATAGGAAAGCAACATAGTTTTTTGGGACAACTAAAAAGAGAAAGTTGGCAAAGTCCAATGAGACGGAGAGAGTACTACGTAATATTTTCACCCTTTTAACTTTTCCAATACTATATACGAAGTATTATACTTGAAACGTATTTGGTGTTATGAGTATAATTGGGAAAGAGCCTAGCAGATTTGGGGTAAGTTTTGGTGTA